CCAGGGAGGGCCTGGGTTCCTTTTTTTTTTTTTTACCTGAAATGGGACCTGTTGCAGATTAACTCTCAGGCTTTACACTTCTATTTATTTTCTACTTCTGCTGTGTGCTTTGTTTTCTTTGGTTTGCATAAACTGAGTATATTATGATCGACAATTATGTGTTAGTCATTTCCCTTAATTATGTATCCAATGTATAAGACCAAAACATTACACACAGAAATAAATAAACAAACACACCTTAAACAGAAGAAATAGCCCAATAGAAAATTAAAGAAGGAGAAAAGCCATGCAGAACACATAAACAGCATGCCGTATCCCACAAGTGTCTGACTGAAGGGCTGGTAGTGGTTAAGATTCAACTTGAATTCAGATTTTGAAGTTCCAGGCCCTGCTTTGTAAGACTAAAGAAAAAAAAAAAAAGATTCATTTTTGAAGGAAGACCTTTCCTTAATTTAGGCAAAGGTGCTGTGTGTTTCAGGGGCCCTGTTGCATAAACAATCTCTGCATCTATGGCTGGGGCTTACTCCACCGTGAGCTTGGAAACCATATCAAGAAAATCAGAGGGGAGATGAACAGAGAGCAAGTTCCCGGTGGGGAACATGGAGTCAGGCCCTTTTGAAGTCCAGAACACATCTGACCTAGAGCTCCTGATAAGTCAGAAAACAGTGCTGTGAGAAGCCAGGTTCACATCCCCAAGTAAAAACAGTTCAGTGTACATTCTTGGGATTGGTAATGCTCAGAATTGGCTAGTCTGTTTTCCCTTGCATTCATATTTACATTCCAGTAAACCCACTGGGTTCACTAAATTGTGCTATTGCAACGTTAGGTAGCTGACTTGTGACAGGAGTTCATTTTCTGGCTGGGGAGTGTTGCTTATTTTAAGATATTTATACAGCCCTTGCATTTCTTGATCTTGTGTAGGCGTTTCTCACAGGGAAGCAGTCTCAGCAAAACTTTGTTTGCTTGCCACCCTGGGAAACCTCATCCATGTTTATGCTTCATTGTAGTTTTGTATCTTCCTCTTAGGGAGGGATGTAGGTGAGGGTGGAGAGTCCATTGCAGAAACCTGTGTGCTCGGCTCTTTCACTTGGTAGTTGGTGAAAGTTGTGACATGTCATTTATCCTCTGAGCCTCAGTTCCCTCATAAAGTGGATATTCTGGCATTTTTCTGACTTACCTATCAGCTGGATCAAATTCAAGATATATGAGAAAAGTCCCAGGAAGTGACGAAGTTTTATACCAAGTCTAATAATAATTGTAATAGAAATAAACTTTTTGGAACTGTTGTCTTTTTTCCACTTTAGACCATACTGTATATCTTTATGTTGTGAATCATCCCCACAAGGAGTCCACTGTGGAGATATTTAAATTTGAGAAGCAGCAACGTTCTCTCATACACCTGAAGACCATAAAACACAAACTGCTCAAGAAGTATGGAATTAAAAGTATTTTACTCTTCTATTTATTTTCCACCTCTGCTGTGTGCTTTGTTTTCTTCAGTTCAGCAGGCTTTCTTAAACTTGTTTTGTAGCATTTTTTCGTAAACATTCTAAAGGTTCCCATAGTGACACTGCCTAGCACCTTGCCAGAAATTGTTGTATTTAGTATTGAATTTCCTTATATTCTCCAGCTTTTTGAAAGCATTTTAATCCTATAAAGGTGCCCAATTTGATTCTCAGCTCTAATTCCATCCCCTCTGGCACAGAAACTCAATCCCTAGTATCGAGCTCTCTTCACACCTACAGCCTTTTCTAGTTGTCCTGGTAGGTTGTCTTCTGACAGCCACATCCAGTGGGTATGATAACAGACCTCCAGATGGGTCATACTTTGTTTAATCAGAGCTTTGAAGGAGAACTAAAAATGCCTGTGAACACGTTTTTTTTTTTTAAACACACACACACACACACTTATTAAGCAATATCTCTGTGCCAGGCACTATGCCAAACTAATTTAATAAAACCATCATAGTCTTTTAGGAATAGGCATGAGTAAACTGACACTTAAAGAGTTTTGGATTAAGTAATTGACTAAGTTACATAATTTGTAAGTTGCAGAACTAGGTGTAAACCTAGATCCATCTGAATTCAAAGCGGGCTTGGTTTTTGCAGTGATGGATATTGAGGGAAAAAACAGTAAGTTTTTTTGGTGGATAGGTTACTTGTTTTAAAGACTATAACATATAATGAAGAATTTATCTTTTAAAAAGTTGCTTGTTACTTAAGGGAAACATGGCATACAACATACTTCCATCTGATGCCACACCCATCACTTCATTTTACTGGCCAAAGCAAATCATATGCCCCTGACGCAAGATCATGGACACGGAGAAGTCAAATCTAGAAGAAACAGAACCAGAATTCTTAGTGACCTCCACTATGACCACTGTAGAAACCATTATTTACATGAAAAGTCGGATTTGGAGTTTGAGGTTTATTTGTAAATTTATTTGATTTTGTTGACTTCTGTGAAAGGGAAAATGGCTAAAAGAAAATTCACCATGGCAATGAAAAATCTAGTACTTTCTATGAAAGTGTTTAATCCATAGTAGGGCATTATCTACTTCATATTGCTTTTTGAAATATAGTGGTTTTGACAACAGGATATTTAACTACTCCATATTTTAATTCTCTCTCTCTCTCTCTCTTTCTTTAGTGTGAATGACATAGTGGTTCTTGGACCAGAACAGTTCTATGCCACCAGAGACCACTATTATACCAACTTCTTCCTGTTGCTAATAGAGATATTTATGGATCTTCATTGGACTTATGTTCTTTTCTACAGTCCAAGCGAAGTCAAAGTAGTGGCCAAAGGATTTAGGTCTCCCAATGGGATCACAGTGTCGCCAGACAAGATGTAAGACTTCTATAATTTTTGTCCTAGCTAGTTTCATCACCACATTCCCTTAAGTGGTATTGTTTCCTTAGGTTTTAGTAGGAAGGCTCAGATTGTGACCAAGTTTCACACTAAATGTCTGATTTTTTTTTTTTTTTGCTCTTACTAATATTTTTTTAGATTGTTTTATTGAGGCCATATTGGCTTACATCATTGTTTGTATTTTGAAAGTATAGGTTCTCCCTCCATTTTAAAAAAAGATTTATTTGTGCATACACAACTGGGGTGCAGGCCAGAGGTGCAGGGGCAGTGAAAGGATTCACTAGAGACAGAGTGGGGAGCAGAACAGGCAGACCAACGAAGAACACTGCTAAGGGGAACAGGTCAGGAGAGGTCTGCTGCACCATGTGGGTCACCTCCAGGGCGGGGATCAAACTCATGAGGAAGTGGCTTTAGCTTCTTAGTGCTATGCTTTAACCCACTACGCCACCCTCCCCTTCATTCTTTTAAGGTGCTGTTATATTTGTGCTCCCACTACCGAATAGTCTACCATCATAGTCTACTGCTTCCCTCCCCACTTTGTCCTTTATCCCCTTTGAATGTCTCAATTTGACAGTCAGCTTTCCAGAGTTAGTTTTTGGATTTGGCTCAGGTTTAATGTTTGGTTTCTCTATATTACACATATTAGTGACACTATCTAATATTTGTCTTAAGGAAACCTTTTGTCCCTTGCACTTCAGATTTTCACCAGTAAAATGAAGGATTTGGACCCCGTCTTAAAAGGTCCTTGTTCCAGATTCTTACATGACTCCAGAAACTCATTTACGTACCATATCAAAAAGAACAAATGTGCAAAACCTCTATCCCTAGTAAAACTAGGAAGTTTTTAACCATTTACACTAAGCTCTTATGAGGCAGAGAGCCAAATTCAACTGAGCATTGCAGTCATATAAGTTTTAGATTTCTGATATTCTAAAAAGTAGACTTTTCTATGAGAAAACACTTTCATGCAGCATGCAATTTTATGGGAAACACCTTTTTAAAGTATCTTCAATGGAAGGATTTTGAAAAGGTAAAGTTCCATGAATATTAATATGTAAATATGGAGTGATGAGTAGCGATTATCCCTGTGGAAGAAAACTCTTAAGTGCCCTTTGTCTTTTTAAAAAATGATTGCAATTGAGCTTCATGGTCATCTGATAGTTGTTTTCAAGTAGTAGTTTTTGAAAGAATACTCTTTTGGCTTTATAAGAGATCCACTTACCTCAATTCAATTTAAAAAATAAATCAAGACTACTAAGTAATGAGACGGAGGCTATATGTCATTTAGAAACACCAATTTCATTATTTTATAGTCATAGCTCATATGCAAAGCTTATTTGAAGCACTTCAAGAATATGAAATATTCCACTTCATTTTCTCCTGTTACTGTGCTTCAGAAAGATATTGTTGCAGTACTTTCAACTACTGTGAATTTTTATACCCTTTCTTGAAAATAGAAGCTAGTGTTGTCTCTTTAATACTTGTTTAAATGTAAATGTGTCATTTACTTCAAAGGTATATCTATGTAGCAGATGTAATGGCTCACAACATTCATGTAATGAAGAAACAGGATAACTGGGATTTAACTCCATTGAAGGTAAAAAGGGTAAAATACGATGTCTTGTCTGCACAACATGATCCCTTACATGGACTCCTACACCTGACCTAGGAAAGTGTTCCCTGAATGAAGGGAACATGCCCATTTTAATGTGAGAGGACTGTGCTTGCACTTCTAAAATTTGTTAGGAAAACCTCTTAAAAATGCCAATTTCAGAAATTAGAAGTAGTTGGTAGGAGGGAAAAAAGTGGGAAAAACTTTGAAACAATATTTTCACTACTATCTCTTTGTTGGCAGGTAATACAGTTAAACACTTTAGTGGATAATTTAACTGTTGATCGTGTCACAGGAGATATTTTGGCTGGATGCCATCCTAATGCCATGAAGCTTCTGATCTATAACCCTGAGGATCCTCCAGGATCAGAAGTAAGTTTCTATGATTTTCTGAGCTCACATGCAAAACTGCAAAAACAACTGACTGAAATGAATTAGGATAGGAGAATTTAGCAGGTCACTTTCGATGTAAAGCAAAGTTAGCCAGAAAGATAAAAACAAATATTGGATGATTTGTTACATATATGGGGAATATAAGAAATCAAAGTGAATGACTACAGCAAAATAAAAATAAGCTAGTGGACATTGATAACTGAATTGAGATTAGCAGACATAAAGAAGGGGTTAAGAAAAGGTTGAAAGAGGGGTATAAAGCATGGTGGCAGGCATTTTTGTTGTTGTTTTATTTATTTTTGTGGTTTCCTCCAGAAGTAATAAAATAATAAAAAATAAGTCAAATATCACCTTAATATGCAGATCCATACCATTCATATATACATACTTAGAACTAAAAACACTAAAAAATATAAAAGAAACAAAAAGTTCATCCTGAACCTTGAAACTGAAGAATTGCTACCTACGCTAGCAGGCTGCCCTTGGTAGGTAAGAGCTTCAGAAATGACAGACTTAACACCTACAAATGCCCAACAACAATGTTTGCTTTCAGAGCATGAAACTATAGTCCACAAATTGATTTGAAAATTGCTCAGGATCTTTCTCGTGTCTCCATTCTCAAGTTTAATCATTTGCTTAAACTTGTTTTGGGTAAGTGTTCTTTCTTCACAATCACCAATACTCTACTTTTGGTTGTGTCTAATGTTTTCCAGTTGAGATCCAAGAGTGAGCATTTTTTTTTTTTATAACAAGCCTGAGATCAAGTCAAAGAGTCTCCCTTAAGATTAAAAAAAAAAAAAAAGGAAACGCAATAATATTCTATGCTAACAGGAGATGGCAAGATAGACCCATGACTCATGAATTTGTAATAGATTTTTCTTCAGTTTCTCTCATGTTCTATTTGAGTGAACTTCATCCAGGCTGTTTGGAAACCAGAGAATGCTTATGTATTTACTGATTATCAAAGCAAAGTTAACGTTAGTCCTGGAGATCAATAACTGAATTAGACAGTGGTAGGTCAGACTGAATTCCAAAGTATGCATTATTATGCTTCCTAGACATTGTACTTGCATGCAGGGTGGGGAAAGAAAGTGGGCCCTCCCTGGTGGCGCAGCAGGTTAAAGCACAGCACTAAGAGACTAAAGCCACTTCCGCATGAGTTCAATCCCCGCCTGCCCCAGAGGTGACCACATGGCGTGGCAGACCTCTCCTGGCCAGCCCGCTGCTCCCCTCAGCAGTGTACTTCATCGATCTGCCTGTTCTACTCCCCGCTCTGTCTCTGGTGAATCCTCTCACCCTCCGCATCTCTGGCCTGTTCCCCAGTTCTGTATGAATAAATAAATAAATCTTTAAAAAAAAAAAGAAAGAAAGAAAGTAAGGGGAGGGCAGTTGGGGGACTGGGGGCCAGATATAATGATTATTATCCTACTGGTTACTAGATCAGTTTGATTGGCTAAAGGAGTGTCCGTTCATCATTTTTTCTTTGCCCCCCCCCAAATGTAGGCCCAGACACAGAGGGAGAAACAGAACTCAAGAACACAGAACAAACACTGATTCTTACTTCCCTCAATAGGAGACATCTAAACTAACAAAACTGTATAAACCATTGCTCGATATTATTGCTTTCATCACAAGTAAACCAAGATTAAAGATATTTAGATTTCTGCTTATTGATTTCTGAGAAGTATATTAGTCTTAAGCATCTTGGAAGGAACACATCATGAGAACAACTGGCCATACAGCATACTAATGAGGGTTCTCTTCTCACCAGGTACTTCGTATCCAGAATGTTTTGTCTGAGCATCCCAAGATCAACACCCTGTATGCCAACAATGGCTCTGTGCTTCAGGGCAGCACTGTAGCTTCTTTGTACCAGAAGAAACTTCTTATAGGCACCATTTTTCATAAAACTCTCTATTGTGAACTCTAGACCCCAGAGAGTCCAAAAAGTCTGCATGCTAGAAGTCACCCTCTGATTGTATTATAAATGGAGCTGTAAGTAAAAAACAACTACCAACAAAAATGTGTCTGGCTTTTCTTAAACAGAAACTGAAACATTCCATAATAGCCACCAAATTATAAGTCAAACTAGGGACAATCCAACAAGAAGTCAAACCTCTCAATTCTTTCTGTCTTGCACCCCTAATATTTTTTCTCTCTTCTGGGAAAATTATTAGCCATCCCCCATCAACACATCCAGTTACAGTGATTCCGTATAAGGTGAATAATCACACTAACTACTCAGTAAAAGAAGGAAAAATGGAATACACTCAGTAGTCACTGGTCTCTGATAATGAAATTATACCACTGGAGAAGTTTCCCTGTCTAAGCAGGGGTGCCCTTTCCCACATCCCACGGGATCCCATATTTTGCCCTGTGTTGTCCATTATGCCTTAAGGTCACATCTGAAATGAGTTTTGGAAAAACTATGCAATTTTAGTAGCCTACTTCCTTCAGGTGTAGGTTGGAGAGTCTGCAACCTGCAAGACAGGCTTTTGGTTGCTTTGAAATCTAAGTATGTTAGAAATTTGATAGGCTTCTGGGTCTCTGTGTTTGTAATCAATACCATGAGCCAACAACAACATTCAGATTTATCTTCTGGAGCAGTGTTTTAAGCCTACTCCACTTCCTGGTTTTCATGTCTACTCATTTCTCTCTCATTTAAATGTTATCTCTTTTCAGGAAATATGAATAAATGGGTAAAAGGAAGGCTCATCATTAATCCCACCTACAATGCTGGTCACCATGGCTCTCCTGACTGGAGGTATTTAGGAATGGCAACGAACTGTAACAATCTAATCCCCTGCTGATGGAACACAGAATCCAATGGAAGTATTCTCTTTGGCCTTCTGCTTGTTGGCTATTAAGTCCTACTTTAGCACATCATTTTCTACTCAACAAAACATCAAGGAACAACCAACACACAACAACATTCTGGTTGCTCTCTAAGTAAATGATTGGCCTTTCAAGTAATCGCAGAAAAAAGTCTCATGAACTATTTTGTAATGACTTTATTAGGATATCCAGATTTCAACGAGAGATACCCATTTCCTTAGCTCTAGTTTACCGTATTTTTAAGATTTTTTTTAGAATCTCAGTTCCAGATTCAAATTTATATATTTTTAATGACATCCTAAGTTGTAACAAAGTGATCCCAACTTTAGTGATTTGAAGAATATAGACATTCCTAAAAGGTAGTATATCATACTGAGTAACAGCACAGATTGAGAAGCCCGTATTTCTGTGTTTGAATCCCAGTTCAGTCACTCATTAACTACATAATTCTGATCTTTAATGAGCCTTTTCACATATGTAAAATTAAATTACTAATAGTAACTACCAGTTAGGTTAGATGAGAGAATTAAATGGGTCAGTATATGTAAAGCTTAGAATAGGACTGTTACATGCCATTGTTAAATAAGGACTTGTTAGATTAAAAATATATATAGTTACAATCTTTTTTCACATAGAGAGAAATAACTCTGAGATCAGTGAAAATCCTGATCTTTGTGATACCTCATAGTTCTAGAAACTTCTATACAGTTCTGTCTACTTTGTGGAACATTCATTATTGTCATCATCAATCACCATTTTGGATTCCATCCTTTGGAAAAGGGATGAGAGTATGAGGAGACACATCAAAGGTTCTCAAAACAACTTGTAAATGGTGCACATTGCTTCTTTATTTGAAAAAGTACTGTCATCTGGCCATACCTAGTTAAAATGGAGGCTGCAAATTTAGTTTCTCTAGTTAGTCTTATGCCCAGAAAGGAGGTATTTGGGTAGGTAGTATCCTCTACTATTGTTCTTTAAGCTGACTCAAGAAGAGTATGGAAACCATTTGGCTTCTATAATAATTAAGCAAATTGAGATAATAATAAAAAATTCATATAAACTGAATACTAAGAGAAATCAAGTCAAGAAATATTTAAATGGACAAATTAATTGCAAATTCATACAATAAAATTCTATATAGTAAGGAATTCCACCACTAGAGCTACCTATAACACTGACCACTGTTGACTTAAATAAACAAAATGAAGAGATGTAGTATGATTTTGTTAGCCAAAATGGCTAAATTAAACAATTTTGTTGGAGGATATATATGTAAGTGAATATTCTGGAAAAAAAACAGGGAGACAGGGATTATCACAAAAGTTGGGACAAGGTTGTCTCTAGGGAAGATGGGAATTATGGTTAGGGAAAGTACACAGGACGTACTGTTGAGAGTAACAAAATGGAGATAAAAACCCCAAGGAATAACAGGCAAATGGTGTGAAGAAACAATTTACTCCAAAAGGCAACATAGTTAAGCATACAGAAAACTGCTGAGAATCTTTTGTCTTCAGAAAGAGTCAACTGAAAACAGCTCTTTTAGGCCCTCCCTAGTGGCACAATGGGTTAAAGCCCAGCACTATGAAGCTCTCCATAGCCACTGCACAAGTTCAATCCCCAGTCAGGGAGGTGACCCACATGGCGTGGCAGACCTCTCCTGTCCAGCGGGCTGCTCCTCCCAGCAGTATACTTCATTGATCTGCCTGTTCTGCTCCCCATCATGTCTCTGGTGAATCCTCTTTCTCTCCGCCTGCCCCCCGCACCTCTGGCCTGTACCCCATTTCTGTATTCATAAATAAATAAATAAATCTTTTTTAAAAAGAAAGAAAAAGCTCTTTTAAATTACCTTGTAACTGTTAGAATGACAAAAAATTTAAAAGGCTCAATATTGCCAAGTGTTGGTGGGAAGGTGGAGATACAGGAGACCTTGTGCATTATTGGTAGAGGATAGATATCAATTATTGCAACCACACAGCTCACACCCCGAACTCAAGGTGTCCTAACCATAGGCTCCAGAGTCATACCTGTGCCAAGGTCGACAATATCAAAGAAATACTTGCTTCTAACCTCAATTTCAAATTTTAGTCTTATTTAAACCCTTCTGATTTACATAGATAAAGCTACACTTTCACTATGGCTTCAAGAGAGTTGGAGTTTCATGTTCAAGTTTCTACCTTGGTAATGGCAGGAAGGTACACTAGAAATATGGAACCCTATCACTGTTTGTCCCTCACCACCCCAGCTGGTGTTCAGGCACTGATCTCTTATCAGTTCTACTTATGTGATGTTCATATGTTGCCTAGGTTTCAAAACACTACAACCAAAGGGTGTTGGAAAAGAGATGAAAATTACTAAGTTTGTGTCTTTACTATCACAGAAGTAAGACATGTGGGTACAACTCAGTTTTTATTGATGTTTTGTGTTCATATTGTTTGTCAAAAAATGGCAAGAATTTATCTATAGAAAGAATACAAATCACTTACTTTCTGCCACATTCATTTTTGCCCATTTAATGAGGATGTGCAGAAAAGCAATTTACTGGAGATGGGAAAGAGCATGATTAGCATAGTCTAGGACAAGTCATCCCATTGAGGAAAACCATGATTACATGAAAGCATTGACTATAATGGAAATTTATATTAACACAGTTTAATATTCTCTAGAACAGACATAAAAGAAAAAAAATCAGTCCGTCAGGGACAATTTTGGGAAATGGTAATATACCAACCATTAAAATTATATCCATTCAATTCCTGGCTTTGCTCACCAAAGGAATCCTGTAGTTTTTAACAGGTAACTGGTCAGTCACATAAAATTGTAGAACGTCACTGACTCCATAAACCAGAGAAACACAAATGAAGTGCTCTGGTAGCATTCTGTATTTTAGCAATGGCACTAAATAAAAAAAATTGTGGCTTCTGCAATAATCTGAAGATTACCTTTGGGTAAAAGTAAACTCAAGAAAATAAATAGTTTATGAATAAGTTCTAGAGAAGCCCACTGCTACTCAAAGCAATCACACACCATCCTGAAAGTTACACACACACTTAATGGAAATAATAAAACCAGATGTGCCTGACTACATACAGACTTAAACATTTTGGTTCTTTTCTTGTCCTTGTTATCCTGTGCCTTTCAAGGACTTTCCCTAACTCTCTATAAATCATGTATTTTTGAAATTCTCTTTCAGCCTCTACCTGTAGGGAACCAGATATACATTCAATATGATTCCACTTGCCCAAAACAGAAGTAAAATAATCATTTTCTCAACCGCTATGATAGATTAGGCAACTGTTGCCTACATATATTGATTATCTTCTTATATGATCCTCTCATTGAACTGATAATACATCTCTGTGTTACTGAACTTAGTTTGACCAATGTTGGTAGAAGTAACAAGTTACTTCCAGATATAAAGTTCAAGAGCCAGTTGTGTGTCTTTCCTAACTCTTTCCTACTTTGCCCCCAAATTGGTAATGTTGTAAATGTAGTCTGTTCTAGACAGATGGATACTGGATTGGTGATGAGAGTAAGCAGAGAGTAAGTAGGGAACCAACCTGCAATGAACATCTCGAACAAGTGTTAAATAAATAAGTCATTGTTATAAGTCCTCAATAGCATGTTATAATAGTTCTTTTTCATTTATTTATTTATTTTTAAAAAAAGATTTATTTATTTATGCATACAGAACTGGGATACAGGCCAAAGGTGCAGGGGTGGTGAGAGGATTCACCAGAGACAGAGTGGGGAGCAGAACAGGTTGAGTGACAAAGTACACTGCTGAGGGGAGAAGCGGGTGGGTCTGGAGAGGTCTGCTGTACCATGTGGATCACCTCCAGGGCGGGAATTGAACTCATGCTGAAATGGCTTTAGTTTCTTAGTGCTGTGCTTTACCCTACTTCACCACTAGGGAGGGCTTCATTTTTTTTTATAGTGTTTCATTGAATGAATACATCACAATTTGTTTACCTACTAATGTTGTGAATTACTGATAAGCTGTACTGAGCTTCCTTGTACAATGTGTCTTATCCATAAATGTAAGCTAGATATATATTCAGAAGTGGAACTATTGGGTAATAAGATACACATATAAGTAGCTTTAGTAGATACTGATAGTTTTCCAATGTGGTTGTACCAATATATACTTCTACTAATAATGCTGGAGAGTTCCAGTTATTCACTTCCTAATCAACAGTTAAAATGCCAAATTTTCTCTTAAAAAAGTCTTACTATATTTATGGGTTTACAGAAATAACTTGTGACTCTTATATGTGCAATCAGATGACTATAGATTTAAACACCTTTTTGGGGACTTATTGATTATTTGGAGTCTTGTGCAGTGAACCTACAACTGTTTTACTCATTAAAAAAAAATTGAGTATTCAAAGTGGATTAAAGACCTGGACATAAGAATGAAAGCCATAAAATACCTGAAAATAAAGATGGGTGAAATATTACACAACATACACTTCAGTAACATCTTTGAAGATACAGCACCCAACACAACGAAAGTGAAAAAAATGATAAATAGATGGGATTACATCAAGTTAAAGAGCTTCTGTACAGCAAAAGAGACATTACCAAAAACAAACAGACACTCCACTGATTGGGAAAAAATTTTCTCACATAAAACTAGCAATAAAGGATTGATCATAAACATATACAAAGAACTGATGAAACTCAACAAAAAATACCCAACCCCATCAAAAAAATGGACAGAAGAGCTAAAAAGACAGTTCTCCAAAGAGGAAATGCAGATGGCCAACAAGCATATGAAAAAATGTACATCACTTATAATAACAGAGAAACAAATTAAAACCACAATGAGATACCTCCTCACACCAGTAAGAATGGCACATCTTAAA